GAGGCTGCCTGTGCCTGCTCCAGACAGCCCCACACAAGCTGCAAGCGCCTGCAGCAGGGAGCGCCGGCCGTGGGGCGGGTGAGGGGCCTTTTCTCCACACTCAACACCAGCTCCTTCCCTGGTGAGCAGGGGGTTGGGGCTGTGCACTGCCCCCTCCTGTACTGCGGGGCTGGGGGACACTGGGTGTGAGTGGGCGGGGAGCCAGTGGGACCACGAGGCCTGCACCAGTGTCCCGGGGCCAGTGCCAGTGGGGCCCAGAACAGGGTGGCAGGAGAATGGGGTCCCAGCTGGCAGGGGCTCTATGGAGCCGTGCCAGCTCCCCACTCCCTGCTGATGCAGCCCAGCCTGGCTCCACAGACCCCTGCCAGCCTGTGCCCCGCTCTGGGCCCCACCAGTGCTGGCCCTGGGACATTGGTCCCAAGACGGTGACCAGGAGGCGGGGCACCTGTCAAGGGGTGGGGCTACCCACGCGGCCCTCAACAACCTGCCAAAACTGGGTATGCGGCCCTCCACCCAAAATAATTGCCCACCCCTGGTCTAGGGGGTGGGAAGGAAGGATAGAGGCCACCATAGTGAGGGTGAGAGGAAGGAAGTTGGGTAGGGCTGGGGCTGCTGCCCAGCCAGGGCAGCATGTGGGGCCTGGGGTTTGGGGTGGAAATGAGTGGCCGCAGGGCCCAGCTGGACTGGGACAGAGCCATTGGCAGCTTGTCTAGGGAATGGCGGGGGGGCTGGCTCCTCACCAATGTGTGCACACCTGGGGGGGCATAGGGGACATGTGTCCTCCAGATTTGTGCCAGTGCAGGGGCAGAGGCAGATGCAGGCTGCCTGCTGTGGGCTCAGGGCCTGCCGCCCTGCTGTCATTCCTCCAAGGCCTCCATGACCCAGCAAGTGAGACCCGACCCAGTAGGGCAGAGAGGGGCAGGGAGCCCCACGCCACCATAACAAGATACCCCCTGCCCACCCAGCAGAAGCAAGGGGCATAACTCCAAGCCACCACACCGCTGCTGCCAGGCAGGCAGGGGGCACCTTGCCATGATAGTGCGGGGCTCCCAGCAGTGGCACCCACCCTGCTCTGCCAGGCCCTGCCCCAGGGGAAGAACAGGATGAGAGGCCCCAAGCCTACAGTGGCCAGCTTGCATCCATCCCCCACCCCACCTCCACTCCAGCCGTGCCACCCACAGGGGAAGGGGACCCAGACTGCACTCCACTCCAGCCACAGCAGCTGGGGCTTGGGTGGTGATGGGCGGGGGGGAAGAGGGCTGCAGACCTGGGTCCCTGACTCCATAGCCCTGGCAGCTGGGAGCCCCCTCCATCAGGGCGGGGGGGGGGCACAGAGGGGGGAAGGATGGATGGGGGACTGTAGGTGGGCAGTGAGGGGTACCAGCAGGGCCGGGGGGCTGCAGGTTCTGAGTGAGGGATACTGGCAGGG